GATTAAAGCATAGCATTTATTTATAAAAATCAAACAACATCTGTGCAGTATTACTTCTGCTTCTTTTTCTTCGACTTCTTCTCCTTCTTCGGCTTTTTTTCCTTCTTATCCTTTTTGTCCTTCTTATTCTTTTTCTTTCCATCACCAGTTTCATCTTCATCTGGTGAGATGTTGGAGTCTTGCATTATGGAATTGGGGTTTTTCCGGATAAAAAGGGAGAGGATGCCATCCGCCATTGCATTCTAGAACAATATATCCAGAAGTAGAATTATCATTCTCATGCTTGGAACAGAGCGATTTTTTTAAAAAAGGTCCTATATATTCTTCGCTGAACGTGGAGTAGCTTATGAACCCTTCTTCGGCGGAAAGTAAAAGGATGTATATTTATATCCGCTGGCCAAAAAGGTACTTCCATGTTTACGGCAAATTCGTAGGAAGGTCACTGTCAACGCCGACCGGATAGATGACTTTGAGCAGTGCTTTGCGTAATTATATCAACTTCAAATTTTAGGTCTTCTTCATAAAAAAATCTAAACTATGCTGATATTTACTCTCTCCAGAACATTCATATTGAATCATTGTACACGGCTCAAAATATAGCTTGGATATGTGTTCATTGAAATGCCAACTGACAACATATTTTTGAAAATACTATAACTTCTACATAATTAGTTTATCATAAAACAGATACGTAATCACTACATTCCTGATTAAATCAAATAATAAGTGCTCGAGACACGCACGACAAGACTCTTTATAGACGTGGGGCAGAAAAGTTCGTGTTCTGCTTCAAGGAGTCTTTCCTAACGTGCTTCAAAAATTAAAACATTGACAATGACACAATTAGGGATGTGGAACTGTGTATAATTTTACTAACAGCTTTATGTAAATATTATTGAACGGATTAAAACATATGTTTAATAAATTAAAAGACGGGGAAATAATCAGCTTACGGGATCGTAAGAAATCAGTTCTGTGCAGACGGCCCCATTTGCTCCTGCCAGAGATTTCAGGTCTTGGTTAGGTACGAGTGGTCGCTCAGTGCTTCCACGATATTCGAGGCCAACAGCGGCTACCATGAGATAAGCATTGGGCGACTTGCTTTTGGCAGCGCTCATAACCTGCGATTTAGGTTAATGAAAATATACCAGCGCTTACCTTTTCCTTGAGAAAATTGTAGCTCTTCTGCTCGCGTATGTCGTAAACACACAGGACACCTTCATAATCACCTCCAGCTGCAACTTCGGCTCCGTTCATTCCATTCTCGACGTTCATAGTCACATCGCCAGTGCTAGTGACCGCTTTTAATTTTCCAGACTATAAGGATTTAGGGAAAGGTAAGATGGGTGTGTTTTCCTCACCTTGTCCATCACTTGTCGGACTGAATTCTCATCACCACATACGGCGATCCTCTTAGTCACGTCCACGGCTTTTTTGTTTTCATGCTTTTCCTTATCCTTCTTGCTTTTCTTGCCCTTCTTCTCCTTCTTCTCCTTTTTCTCCTTCGGCTTCTTTTCCTTCTTAGGCATGATGACTTCTACGCAAGTCAACCGATCCGACTGGCTTAGAAGTACATTTGGTTTCTTATATGAAGGAGCACAGCGCTGGGGCGAGAATGAACCATGAGGTGCATTGGGAGACTATCTCATTGGTTTGTCTGTCTTCCTCACTCTGTTCACAACACACAACTCTTGTGTATTCGATATACCGCTGCAACCAATCGTATCCTTTATTGCGCGTTTGCCGTGCACGCACCTGCGTTTTATGACAAAAAGGCCCCACAATTTTATGAGTCAGCTGTTATTGATCTCAGGAGGAGGGAAGAACTACCTGTGATCTGTTTCCTACGTAGATTCCAGCATCAAAGGCACACTCAGTATTCAGGCCACGTCGCTTTTGCTTGCTACTGCCCTCCTATTTCCACGAATGTCTATCAAAATTTGAATGTATTATAGTCGCCAAAAGCGTACATGCTTCTCTGGTTAACCTAGTAGGAACAGCAGATCTTATGAATTTGAGTGAGTTGTGAAACCTCGGTTTTCTTTGTGGATTTGGAACCGATGAGTGCAAAAGGCAACGCTCTAGCCATCTTATCTACGAGGCCCCGACTGGAAGACATGAGTTCCATCGCATTTGGGCCAATTAACCCTCCCAGTCTACTGCACTGTATGTAATCCGTCCGTTTTAATGGAATAAGTTTACTTGCTCGAGGGGATTACCTAGCAATCAAGATGAAAGTCACCAGTCAACTTCCAGGCTCAATTAATTAATTAATGTGATATAAATCCCGTCAAAGCCTCCTGACAGAGGTACTTGGGCGTTTGGCTTTGCTCAAGCCACACCGGGATAGCTGAGTACTTGGCGATTGGCCTAAAGGAATTACTATACTCTATCAAAGCCACCTACTCATAAACATTATAGAGAACTCTGAAAGGAGGACATCTTTCCATTATGGGAAAGGTCTGAAGACCTCAAATAAAGGAGGTTTTAGAGTGAATAGGAAATATTAAATTGCACATAGAGCGGGTAAGAAATAGGAAATTCTATCTGAGTGGTTCTCGCTTGGCACGAAATTATTGCATCTGGAGGCTTTTGGCGCATCTCTGATACTTAACCAACTTTTGACCCAATTTCTAGAGTATATCTAGAGTTAGATTTCAGCGCATATGTGATCTTGTCGTCCGTGGCATTGAGGTTCTGGTTCATAAATTGGGGGGCGACAACAATGGGCCTATGGCCACACTGGGCTCGGCTAACTGTAGCATTCACTTGGCCGCGGAAGCCATGCGTTATCTGTGTGAATGGATTTTCCATCTGCAGTTGCGTCAACTCATGAAAACATTCAGAATACGCATACTTTCTTTCTCACCTTCTCTGAAGGAACGTGGTTTATTTGTGGTCGACCTAAGAAGGTCGTACATTCAGTCCGCCGAAACAATTGTTTTATGATTGGATTCCTTTAGTTAGAGGTTTTTTGCAAAGCTCAAATTTGGATCAGCGACTGCCGCACTGGCTGTGGTCTTGCGCGATTTTTAATTTGAATGCTTTGCGCTGGTCTGTGGACGAAATGAGCCAACTGTCGTCCTTCTAACATACCCATTCAGAATTGGATGCCAATGGGAATGGGCGGTGCTAGGTTCTTAAGGCCTCCTCAGTCAACGCTTGACCCATGATCAAGTAAAACGCAACTTGTGGTAATGGGGATTTTAAAT